AACGCCAACAACGAACGAAAACTAACGTGAGATCCCATAAGAATCGCATGAAGGTCGGTTCGTTGATTCACATCATATAAATTGAACCTTGTAAACGGGAACTGAAACTCTGAAACACTGCCTTCTAAATCGCTCTCCATTCATTGTGGAAGGACAACAAAATATGTTATTGGGCGCTTTCGCAACTAACGGGAATTCGCCTATTAGATTCTGTCCACAAGCAAATAAAGGCTGAACGGATTTCAAACTAAATTTTAGATTTACTAAAATATGTTAGCAAGTTCTTATTTTGGTTAAAATCGGGCAACAGAAACGAACGCTTCACATTAATGATAGACAACTTAAACCGTTTCTGCTCGCGAAAGCGACTGAAGAATCCCCAGGCTACCGCGGGGAATTCCCAGCCGTGCAGATAACTTTAACCTCATTGGTGCCAAATCATTTTGCTTCCTAACTTGTTTTGTCTTTCTGTTGGTAACTTTATCTTAAAATGTCGTCAGACACAACAATTTGAATTCTACACAGAATACACCCACAGCTCTAAATGTTTTTAACATTCTAAGGGTGGTCAGATTGTCGATTATCCGACTCTCAGTGATATATCGTGATTGATCTATGCCGTTGTGACAAGGGACCCATTTAATATGAAGGATACTGTGATTATTTTATAGAGACAGTTTAAGATCAGGTGTAAGGTATCGGCAGATGCAATGGCATTCATTGTTGCAGAATAACTGTGTTATTGTTGTGCGAACTTGCGTGGTAATACATAACCTATTATTCTAGATCAAAGCTACGTTTCTGACTAAAGTTCTGATATGGGCAGTAATTAACTACGTAACTGACAATATTAAAATCTGACTTCTCCAAAAACGTAAAAGCGTAAATATATTTAGTTTTCGTTCGAATGGCAATCATTAATACATTTTTGTTAGGCGTTTTAAATAGTATATGAAGATGTTAAACAAGAATGTAGACGAGCACTAAACAAGCAATGAATTTTCTAATTTAATTTCAACCTGGAAATTAAAACTGTGACAACAAACGCTGAATGTGCAAAACGTTACAAATGCATTTGGAATGCGTGAACTATTAGCCTAAGAGCAATCATTAAATCAGTCGTAGTGAGGGTATAATACATATTTTGCAATTTCTTTGTATTTGCCCGAAATTCGCGCGCCAATTATGAAAGGCAACGTTCAAGAAACGGGTATTCTACAGATTCATTTGAATAATTTATAGACACAGTAAACGGATATATAAAACATTTAATGTAATAATTACCCATCTTTCCCCCATTGTTGGTGCTCACGAGGAACATATTTCGATACTGTACTGTCGAATAAATGTTAAATTTTATTGAAACTTTCTAATTTTAATTGTTGCCGTAACACAGAAGGATATAATGTTCAATGAAAAACATTTCAGGTGGCAATTTTTAATGAAATACCCAGGAGAATATGCAGCCTGGATAATTTTTCTGGCGATATGTGGAGGATGGAACGTGTGTTTGCGGCCGTCTGAACACCAACCACTTACTTGCACTGTCATGGCGTTGCTGCAATATCGCGGAGCGTCTTGAGTTACGCTGTCCTGTAAGGTCGAACACCAAATACACGAGTCCTATCCTGAGATCAGTGTCCATATTGCATTGTTTCAATTTTACGCATGCGCGTACTTACGATAGCCGAAGGTCTTTAGGTCATTTCCAGGACCGGTTTCATATATTAAGACAGAAAGAGATCAGGAAGACTGCGAAGTATCTGGTCGGTGAACCACCAGCCAGTTCATTAGAAATGAAATACCGATCGTATCAGTCAGACCTACACATTCGTTTTGCCTCATTTAAATATCCGACACGAGCGGTCTGCATTGCCCACTTAGCCAGCATATGAATTTTTTCATCACGACAGCAACAATGATGGTTGAAATTACGATGTCAGACATTAAACTTAGGTTGTTTTTCTTTATACCTTTCGTTACAGTTCTTTTCTCAAGGCTGTTGTAGACATTGGGTAAGTTAGTGACGATAACATGTAAATTCCTGCACGTAAATAACCTTGGAAGTTCTAAAACCACTTTTTGATATTTGATTCTCAAGCAGAATTGAATCCACGAATATGCGTCATGATGACTGGCTTCTTAGATCTTGAGGAAATTACGTTATGTGACGTGGCTTGCGGGTCGTTCTCGCACATGGTTCCAGGTTGATAGCAATGAGCATGTGTCATGATATTATACCGTTCTCGGTGTTACTTAACGACATATTTACATACATGATGCCTTTCGGGTTGTCACCAAGACGGCTGACAACCCGAAATAGCCGTGAAAGCTTTAAATGTGACACATTTACAATTGTAATACAGAATTAAATGATATACAAAACACAAAGGAACTAATTATATATAAACTAGGGAATTTTAATACTAAGCAAACATTTTGGTATGCTGACTTTAATACTACAAAATATTTCTAACTTCTACCTTACACTTTAAGTGGGGGTCACAAACACCCTTGCCCCCCCCAAGAATCCAGGGCAGCGCCTCGGCACTAAAACGGCCGTTCATCCCTGGCTGGACTGCAGCCCTGAAAATCGCAATCTGTTGCTATTTCAATGACATTTTCTTCTACTCATGTTACAGTTATTCTTCAACGGCAGTTAAAGCTTCTTCGTCCCGAAAGATAAATTAAAGGAACATTAACACACTATATATACATTTTGTGTAAAGTCGTTGATATTATATATATCATCATACGCACACGATTTTTTTGATTTGAGAGAATTCATTATACTTTGAATTTCATTTGCTGTTGTGGGAACAACAATAACAAATCAAAATGATACTCATGAGGAAGTTAGGAGGAGATTAAATTCTGGAAATGTTTGCTATGTCTCAGTTCACAATATTTTGTCTTCCCGTCTGATTTCTAAGAACCTGAAAATTAAAGTATACAAAACAATAATCTTGCCTGTTGTTTTGTATGAGTGCGAAACATGGTCTCTCACTCTGAGTGAGGAACGTAGATTGCAGGTGTTTGAGAATCGGGTGTTGAGGAGGATATTTGGGCCTAGGAGAGAAGAGGATGGGGCGTGGAGGAAACTGCATAATGACGAACTTAAAATCTGTACTCCTCCCCCAGTATTGTCAGGGTGATTAAGTCAAGAAGAATGAGCTGGACGGGGCATGTGGCTCGCATGGATGGGGAAAAAGGTGTGCACCAGGTATTGGTCAGGAAGCCTGAGGGGAAGAGACCGCTGGGGAGACCTAGACGTAGATGGGAGGATAATCTCAGGCGGGATCTATGGGAGATAGGAATTGAAGGAGATTGGATGTTGGTGGCCCAGGACAGGGACCGTTGGATGGCTTTGTTTAATTCGGTGATGAAAGATGCTATCGGGGAGCTCAGACATTGTTTGTGGTAACTTTCAGTAAGATAATTAATATTAATGTCACCACAAATGACAAACTCTGCGGTAGGTTTAGAAAGATAATTTATAATGCTTTCTAACTTGCTTTAAAAAGTTAAAGAAACAACGTGATGGACAGCATAGTATCGAGAAAACATAAAATGTGTATTTACACCTACAAACAAGTACCTTTCTACGCCACCTATCACGTCAAACGCTATATAGTAGTGTTTAAAGCTGTCATCTGTAGTCAGGTCTATAAACTATTAGTCTATCAACACCGATTGCCTAAGTGAGTCGATAATGTAGTTGTCAACTTCTGTAATACTAAATACTGTAAAAGCTGATAAAAAGAATCTGAATTCTTTACCTGAATATTGTAGGATTCCAGAACCCATAAACACAATGCCAAATAACGTTCCATGCCATGTGTTCTAGCATCCCGGGTTTTGAACTCGGTTACTTCATCTCTTCCTGCCATCATCCAAAATTTGGTTATTGTCAGCGCTCTTTTCCTTTCGCACGTATAAATTAAATACAATAATTTCACACGCACATAATTACATTATGTTTTATGCATTCCTTGACACTTCAGCAACACCTAAAGAGCCAGCGACACGCAAACACAATATTAACACAATAGGTACGAGAAAGTTTTGAAAAAGCCGCGTAGTGGTTTCTGGTAAGCACAAAACGTTCGAAATTACAATACGCCATTGTTCTCGTGGAGTAGACAATTGAAAAACACTACTGTAACAACTGAATAACAAATTACGTTAACGCTTAAAAAGTCTCCAATATTTTGTAACCCATCTTCAGATAAAAGAATAATTTTTAGGGCGTTTGGAAATCACTAATCCCTTAACGAAGTATAATTGTTGGGTTCGATTCCTGGCACGGAAGGGACACTTTTTCATCACTGCTAGGTATTAATTCATGAACCTCTTAGAATACAGATCAGGTGTGCCAGCAATGTAACTGAAATGTCCCTACCCCCTTAACAAGAGGAACTAGATTAAAACTGAAGACATTTCTAAGACCTTGCAAAATACAGAATCTCCTTGGTCTTAAGAAAGAATGGGCAAGAAAATAATTCATCCTGCTGTCAGTGTTGGTCTTCTGGACTGTAATGTTCTGTGGTTACCAACATTTCAGAGACATATGTTTCCATCTTCAAGGCTCAAGATGGGATATTTAAATCCCCTATGACAGCACTCCCAGCTGGAAATTAATGCCAGGGCTCATGATCAATAAGATGAATGGGTTTAAAGTAAATTTTGATGAATAGCTTATTCATGATTTATCAGACAACTTATATTCTTGTACTTGCATTATGATCTGGGTAATGAAGCAATACATCTTATAAATGGTTGCCACCATTTCAGAAAGTAACTTGATACATAAACCTTCAGGGCAGAAATACCCATGATCTAAACTTTCACCACTGTGAAAACCTCAATTCCCATACACACTCTTATAGTTACAATTATCACTCAACATGTGTGTCAATTACTAACTCCCTGGTAGCAGAACCTGCCTGCCACTGGACTTGATCCAGAGCAAACACCATTCATTTACCATTTTCAAAACCCACCTCACTAAGATCAATCTTTATATTATCCTCCCATCTCCTTCTTGGTCTGCCCAGTGGTTGTTTTCCAGGATTCCTCACAAAATTCTGTATGCACCATCACCATTTTCATAGTGTTTCAATCTAAAGATTCTGCTGATGTCCTCATGTTCATTTTTTAATACTCGCAGAAAGTTTATTACAACTAAAGACATTTAAGAAAAGTGAATACTAGAAAAGGGAAATATAAGAATGACAGGTTTTAAACGCTTGCCACATAATAAAACTTCACAACGATGTTAGTTTCTCAGACTATACAACATCAGATAACAGAATAATTAAAGAATAATGATTTGGTAAGGGCATGGGAGAGGTAATCATACCCTAATGTAAGGTATAATCCTGTCATTTGCCTGGAAGGATTGCGGAAAACCACAAAAACATCAGTCTGTATAGCTGGTCTGGATCTCCTGAATATAAAACAGGAGTTCTAACCACTCAACTTACATTCAGCTACCAGACAAATCTGGGATGAAGGTTTTCAAAGCATTCTGAGAATTGGCAGGGAATCAGGTCAAAATCCAAGAAAAGAACTTGGGAAAGGTGCAGAGGTCTTTGCAACACCTTCACGTCCTTTACCATAGGATTAGAAGATGAAGGAAAACAATGCAGATATAAATAACACAAAGTACTATCACTACAGACAAAATGATTATATTTACACTAAGGAGTTGCTTCAGATTGACTCAACGACCCTAGTACTTTCTGTTCAAGCACTGCCCTGTAAATACCATTAATTCTAATTGTACACACCAACAGTCACATGAAAATCCCTTTCAGAACAAATATTTCAGTATTTATATGATCATACAACATGCTATGTTATACCAAGGCAGACTGACTTTAAAACAATCTAGCAATGTGTGATATAACCTGAGACAAGCAAATTAATTACCTCACATCCTACAATGTATGAATAGTCACATGAGGCTGCTATCCTAAGTTGAAATAATATGACTGTGTGTTCCTTCCACATGTCAACTCTGTTCACTGTAGTCTTCTGGGTATCACTCCATGCAAAAAGTGGCAACAATTACCAACACTTTGGAGAAATTACGTGACTCCCTTTCAGGTCAAAGTTATGACCTGGATGGGTAACCATTCCAGGTCACCACCACCACCACAATTATATTTACACCATTCTGGATAATCACAATTTGTGACCTTTAGCTTCATTCCTAGCCAATCACAAACTGTGACAATCTGTTATATCTCTAAAGCAGTTCTACACATTTCGAACACAAGGAAATTAAGTGGCAAGTTCGTCTGATACATCAATATTTTTAAGTAGGATTTGAAGTTTTCATGGCAGTGTCTGAAGATGGCTGTCTTCTGGGTTGTTTCAGCGTGTAGTCTGGTAGAAGTTTACCAACATTTCAGAGGCAGCAAGTGTCTCTGAAATGTCAGTAAAATTCTACCAGACTACACAGCACAACAACTCAGAAGACAGCCATCATCGAACACAGGTCATCTTGGATATCTCAAATATCAAGTCAACACTGCTTCCATGTCTCAAAATAGCTTAACACATTGAAGAAAGGATAATTTAAAATGTTTACCATACTGATATTTTCCTGATTTCAGAACTGAATGAACTTATCTATATTTTACACATCAGTCTCACACTGAAAACTTTTTTGATTATGAAATCAAGACCAGAGATTAAAACATGATAGATTATAAGTCTGCAGACAAACATGTTTAAGCACTTCACTTATTCTTCTCCCATGTACATTCATAAAATATAATATTTTACCTCACTTCAGTGAACTAAGGAATTAAACAAAACTTCTTGAACGCAATAAATAAAACACTGTTAATAATAAAAAAAACCAAAGATATGTCTTTTTCAAATTATCTCAGAGTAAATTTTAAAGAACATGAACATTTTATAAGCACAGCCAGTCTGTGAATCAAGAATCAAACCTGGAATCTCAAATAATAACTGAAGTGCTAACAACTATAATACATTCAGAGTCCTTCGTCTGTTACGCAAAACAGTATTTCTTTATATGTGTAGTCACTGACTGTTTTTCTAAATAATATGAAAAAGTAACTAGTACCCAGACTGAAGATTTTATTAGCAACTAGTGGAATCTGCTGGTAACTGCCCTTTCACTTAAAAACATTTAAAACTGAATGTAACCACAGTATATATTTCATCTACAAACACAGCAACAACAAATTCTTGTATCACAATATCCACCTTACCTTATTAACAGTATATTTCTCTATTCATGACAGCAATATGTGTGTCACCTCAAGCTTTCTACACTGAGATATCAAAGCAATTATAATAGCACAATGACTTTTTGACCAATAATTTCCACATTTTCCAGACCAGACAGCCACTTTTAAACATTCTTTCAATTGTTCAGAATTGAGTAGCTTCCAAGTTTTATCTTTACCTCATCAACCAACAAGGTTTCATTAAAAAGATTTTCCCCCTCTGAAATTTACGACCGGGGTATTACATGTCGGTAGGGCACAAACCATCAGATGTGCAAAAGAATTTTTTTTCTTCATTCTTTCGACTTACCGACTCAGGTTCACGTATTCTGTAGGCTATAACAATGGACTCAGATTCACGTATTCTGTAGGCTGTAACAATGGGTTGCCAGGGTATTTTTAAACCAGATATAACAATGGCTTCACAAAATAAGAATTCCAAGAAACCAATGCAAGCTTTCAAACAATCACTTACACATCATGTTACCATTTTTGCTTAACAACATTTCAAGAGGGAACACTGTGATGCATACAGCATATTTCCTTCAACTTCCTGTTCCCATGTTAATGGACATCTCACTACTGAAATTTCAAATGAAAAATTAGAAACTGAGGGCTAAAACTGTATGACAGGCTAATACAAATGGTTCAGTATCTCAATTTTCAGTCCATGCTGTATGGTTCCTGATTTCAAACCTCATGTGACTCCACGGGGACACAAAGACTAGTAGCTACACAGGTACATCACTTGACCGGATTAAGCAGAGCAGATGAGAGGGACATCAGAGAGCGTGGTGAGAACACATGCACCAATGAGTCCCAGCCACAGTCTGCGATCTGACCTGCCTTGTGGCTGTTAAAATCTAGTCCATATACAAACTCAGAGTGATGCTTCACAGTCTCCAGAGGATCTGACGATGCCTTGAAGTCCCAGATCCTGCAAAGAAATATCTCGTTAAGGAACCAGGACACTAACACAATGCGGTATGTGTGTTTGCCATGCAAGTTCTTTATATAAAGCCAAATGCTAGATGTCAGGAGCAGAAGAGAAGAGAGGTAACAGAAAAGTATTTAATCATAGCAGACCCAGGATACAGAACAAAAGATCATAAAAGTAATCAATATGATAGAAAAGGATTGGTAATAACAAACATAAATACAATAATCAAAACTTTAATATTTTGGAGTTCCCAGGTCAAAATTTTGGACTAGATATTCCTATTCTGACCTAGGTTTCTTATGGTTTTCCACAGTTCCTCGAGCCAAATATCAGGATAGTGAATAAACAGGGCATGACTGCTTCCTTCCATATCCTTTCCAATTCAGTTTTCATCCTGTTATTTGATGCCACATAGCCTTAGTTAATGACAGCATAATTAAATAGACCATAAATAAAAAAATTTGAATAAATATCTAGAAAATTTGAATATGTGTTATAGTGAGTCCAACTGTGCCATCGGTAGCCGTAACCAAAGGGTGGTAAGTTCTATTTGTTGTATCTGGTTGTAATTCCAATATATATATATATTTTGTGTTCTTTGTGCTGCTTGGTGATTGTTTTCCTTCTTGATCTACACCACTTCCACATACATAAAACAAGTTAAATTAATAGATGCGTCATGGCTATTACTTCAGGCTAAAGCATCTTCTGTACACATTATGCTTCTATAATTTAATATTCTGCAAGATGACATACCTTGTTGTGAAGTCATAAGACACAGATGCCAGAACTGAGAGATTGTGCGGAGAAAAACGGACTCTGCGAACTGCATACTCACAGCCCTACAATTCATCCAACACTGTATTAATGTACTAACTATTCAGATTGTTAAAACCAATGGGTGGGATAGAAAAGTTCCTGTAATCATTGCAACACAACTCTTTCGGAAAATTTAGCAGCCAAAGTTGGTGTTCTACTGTCATTAAATTCAATCAGAACACTCTTAAAAGAGCCCAATTAGAGGACACCATTCTATAGGTAACAAATATTATAAACAAATCGGGGGGGGGGGGGGGGGGAAAAAAAAAAGTACTACTTCCCTATGCTACTGACTGCTCATTACTTCATAATAATCAACTGAGAATTACAATAAAGCTAGCCACTTTAATCTGAAAATATTGCTGGTGGCTGCTTACATTCACAGATGAATGAATGATTAAGTATATACATTGCACAAAATAAGTGTTAATACCAACTTACACAAATCAAAAAACTTCTATGCTTGGTCAAGAAATGTTGATTTTTACAGAACCTGAAGGTCCACTACCATATTCACAAAGGCCCTAACCCATTTCTTCAAGATCCACTTCAATATTATCTACATCTATGTGTCCACCAGTTTTCTCTTCACTGCAAGTTACCTGACTTCTTCCCAGTCAGTGCTGCATATCCTACACAATTCATCTTACTTTACTTCGTCACCCGATTAACCTATTAATGTCACATGAACAATACAAATTATAAACTCCTCATTCTGTAATTTGCTGTTAGTACTGTGTACATAAATAACAAAGAAAATGGTTAAACAAGATAACTCAGAAATTCTATATATCATAAAAGTCAGGTTTCTTAGATAGACCAGTTTTTAAAGTACTTTACAGGAATACCAACCTTCTGTTCAAAAACAGGACTAGTCATGTTGCGCAGATCCCAGCCACGAATCAGTCCATCTGAGCCTCCTGTAGCTAGGATATTCTGGTCATACTTGCACCAATCACAGCTCAGCACCTCTGCATCATGGGCTCGGAGCGACATAGACGGATGCTGGGGCATGTGAGTGTTCCAGACCTTCAGAGTTCCATCACCTGGAACAAGCAAGACTTTAATTTATGTGCACTAAGAGCATTAGAGCATTAAAGGTGACAATGTTAAATAAATGACTACCTTCTACACCACAAGACAGAGAGAAAATGTGAGGAAGATAAAAAGAAGAGAGTAAGGAAAGAGT